AGAGCGTATATGCTCACCGGTTCGGAACCGGAATCTCTCTTGCAGGTAAGAGGGCGAACAGGGGTTAAAAAGGATTTGGAACAAAAGGGTAAGGATATGAATATTTCGACGAACACGGATAGGAAGCCAGTTGAGCTGCTCGCGGTAGGCCGAGACATGATCAAACTTACGCAGTCCAAAAATAAACCTGATGCATAGATTTTGGATTCGTTCCAGCTTGTCCAGTAACTCCTCAGATGGGTCCAGAAAGGCACTATCGGCATAATCCAACAAGGGAAGAAGGAGAGATCGAGCCAGCAACAATTTAGTGCCCAAAGGCAGAAAAAACTGCAGGCGCCTGAGAGAGTGGAGAGATGAAAATAATCTACGGCTTATCTCACCTATGTGAGGCCCCCAAGTTAAAGTCTGATCCATGATTATTCCCAGATTCTTGACGGTGCAAGAGAAAGGAATATAGTTGCCGTCGAAGACAATATTAGGAACATGCACAGATCGCAAACCTGAGATGAAGTGGTGACTGCCGACAATAATAGCTTGTGACTTCGCTGCATTGATTAAAAGACCGAAATTTTTAGACCAGGCAGCGATAGTGCATAGATCATCATTAATACAATTGATTGCATGAGCTATATTGTCAACAGGAGCAGCGGCATATAACTGAAGGTCATCGGCATATAAATGAAAAGAAGAGGAGAGAGAAGCCGTGATACTGTTATTGAAAAGAGCGAAAAGAATAGGTGATAATACTGCACCCTGTGGGACACCTGCCCGAACATCAGCCCAATCTGAGCAGGAATCGTCTACCTTCACCAGCTGACGCCGGCCAAACAGATAAGATCTGAACCAAGAAAGAGCAGGTGATGAAAAATTCAATGAACGAAGGATAGCAAGCAGTAGGTCAAAATCAACTGAGTTAAAGGCACTAGTGAAGTCGAGTAGAACAATAACTGTTAAATCTTTATTTTCGATACTATGCCTCATGTCATCAGTGATCTTGACAAGTGCAGTAACAGTGCTGTGAGCATTCCGGAACCCGGATTGGTAGCGACTCAAAAAGTTATTTTTGTCAACAAACTCAGACAGTCGTAGAAGAACAAAGTGTTCAAGAATTTTGGAAAGGAATGGGAGAATAGATATAGGACGAAAGTCGGATATAGAAGCTGGATGGGATGTCTTAGGAAGGGGAATTACGTGACCATCCTTCCATGAAGAAGGAAAGGTGGCGGTGGATAAGGAACAGTTCAGTATGTCCACAATAAGAGGTTCTAGCAAGTTCTTATTAGGAACAATCATATCCAATCCGATACCGTCACTGCCGAGAGCTCTAGACTTGATAGAACTTAGAATCTTTATGAGCTCATCGACAGATATTTCCCCCAAAGTGAATGGGTCATCATATGAATGAGGAAAGTCAGAAAGGGAAGCTAGCGTTTCCTGTTTAATTACGGGATTTAGATTTACAGGAGGAGAAACAAATGACAGGTTGATCTCATTAAGGTTGGGAAAGTTGACACCACATTGACGCTTCCCGATGCCGATAGTACGCAAGTAATTCCAGAGCCTACCGGGAGGGCAGTTTTCAATATTGGAGTGGATATGCCTGCGCCTAGCCTGCCGACACAACTTATTGCACCTATTACGTAAGGTAATATAGCTCTGCCGATCACTGTCGGCAGAACTACGGCGCAACCTGATTTTGGCTCTATCCCGTCTGCTCATGAGAGCTTTCAGATCCATCGTTAGCCACGGGGCAGGACTATGTTTAAGGCGCACTTGTTGTACAGGAGCATGCTTGTCATAAATACTTAGAATCAAGTGTTAAAATGCAGCCACTTTAGAGTCGACATCGCTTGCTGTTAAGATGGGACTCCAGTCTGCAAGACGAAGATCGTTCTGCAAGGCCTCAATGTTTACAGCATCGAAATTGCGACGCAAAACGACCCTATGACGGCGTTTAGGAGTACGGAGTTTAAAGGATGCGTAAATAAGATCATGACTCGAGAAAGTGACAGCACAAAACTGACCGTGGGATTGAACTAGGTCAGGAGAAGATGTAATAATAAGATCAAGAAGGGAGGGTGGGCCGTTGTGTGGAAAGTGAGTACGAAGGAGAGGGACTAAATTAAGATTAAGAGAGTGGAGTAGAGATAGCAGCATTTTCGAACGGCAATCATTTTTGATGAGGCATGTGTTGAAATCACCCATAATAATAAGATGATCAAAATTGGATCTAAGTTCAGAAATAATGTTATCAAAAGAATCAAAATAATTGACGTGTAAGGATGGGCTATAGTAAACACCCAACAGAACTTTAGTGTGATGTAAAGACATTTTGATAAATAAATGTTCCGGGCCATTAAGATTAGGAGAAGACTGAGACACCACTTCATAAGGAATATCCCAGCGGAGGAAAATAGCCACGCCACCACCTCCAACCATTCTTGAAACATCTCCCCGCTGCATGACGCAGGTTCGGTCGTTTCTTATTAGGTTATAGCCTGGAAGGGCATAGAGAGAAGAGGGTAATGATGGTTTCAGGAAGGATTCCGAGATCAGAATTGCGTGGACATGATTTGAAGTGAAAGTACATAAAAGGTCTGTGTAATGCGCAGGTACGCTTTGTGCATTAATATGAACCACGTTAAAGTTTGTTCCTAGCGAAGAGAATTTCAGATTAAGATTACCTTCCAAGGAAGGCATATCCGGGAAATCATCCTCTGCGCTGGAAAAACTGTGTGTTGAGGAAGAGAGAGAGAAATATTCGTTATCCGATTCGCTATTTAGTGTATGTGACATGACTACAAATATACATATAAAAGTAATAAATATATACAAAAACAAAATATATCAGATTATACAACTAATATAATAAATTCCGCATCAGTCCACTCGCCGGCAGCTGAATAAAGTTAAAAAGGCAAAACCGATCATACATGTATGGATATGAATATAAGAAAAAAGTAAAAAAAAAAAAAAACCAATCTAACTACCTACTACAATAGCAGTTGTGCAGTGACAAACACTACTAGAATAAATACAACCATTATTAATATTAAAGTAAAACTACTAATATTGAAGAATTAAAATTAAGTGCTCATAAGTGACGATTAGTTTTAATAAAATAGTTAGTATGCTTCCAAGATCGTAAAATTATGTACAGATTATTTAAAGTTGATAAAACATTGTCACTTGTCATTACGGTAAAATAAGATGTAAACAAATTATGACGGCTACAAAAAATAACTCACCAATTATAGAAACCACATACAAAGAAAATTAACATTACAATTACCCGCAAGTGTGCTCAAAAACTTTTTTAAGATGTAGAAAACTACAAATATATAAGTTAAGGCGTCTACAATTGAGCATTCAAATAAAAATAATAATTATGAAATATGAAAAACAGTGCCAACAGGTGTTATTAACGACCATGTATTGGCTTGCCCTGGGCACGGGATCTGGTTTGAGGTGGCTTGTTCCCAATTCGGATATATGAGGCACTCGCAAACTTGGTCTTCGCTCCGTGGCTTCCTGTGATTGACTCCGTCTCACCAAAAAGAGCTTTAATAGAACTGAATTCCTCCATTGTAGTGATCTTCTTGCGTGAGCCATCTGGGCACTATGACTTTGCCATTTCCAGTCCAGCAGCCTTTGATTCCTAGGGTCTTGCGAGCCTCCAAGAACACAGCATGTCGTGTACTTGTTAAAAATTCTGATAGCGTCAAACCACTGCCTCGAAGACACTTTTTAGCGGACCAAACTTGAGAACGGTCAGAATAGTTATTAAACCGCACAAGGATTGGTCGGGGTTTGTCTTGTACCTTCTTGCCTAGACGCATGCAGCTACCAAATGATGCCGAAGATATAGTGATTAGCTGAAGTTAGTGCTTACATAAACTTTGGAGGTATTCTGAGATGTTCTCATCATCTGCCTCGGCTACACCATGAAGCAATAAGATATTAGATCTGGATCTCATTTCAGAATCGTCAAGAGTCATCATGACAAGTTCCATCTGAGCCTTTAAACTGGACACGGTTTTCCAAATAAGACTTTTAAAAGTGTGAAACTCACTTGACAATGATGCAATATCAGTTGATGAGCTGCGGGCATTCATTCAAATCATCTTCAAATGATGCTAGTTTGGTGGAAAACAGCTGAGTGAGGTCGTCCATATTCTTGCGAAGTAGTAGTAGGTGATCCATAGTGAATAGTGATTGTTACTTTTAGAGAATTATAAAGTGAAAATGTGGGTGAAAGAAATATAGCTGCCGGTGTGAACTAATAAACTACTTCATGTGAGTTAATAAATTAATTAATTATAATGTAGAAATTAATTAAAAACAAATAAAATAGGGAGGAGCAAAATTGAATGTGTTATCACTTAACTACCCACCAAAAAAAAAGCTAATAATTTTTTTTAATACTATTAAATATTTTTTTTAAAATATCCTCCATCACCCCTTCAAAAACATTGTAATCACTATTAGGAGGCCTGTACACACATATAAGGATATAATTTTCTAGTTCTATACAAGATAATTCTATACAACACTCAATAGAAAGTCTAACAATGTCAGCACGTTCCTTTACTTTAATATTATTTCTTGCAATTATCATAGACCCGCCTCTGTTAACTGACTTTCTATTGAAGCAGCTGACAACGTTATAATTATTTAAATTGAACATCATATTGCTCTCTGTTACGTGGCGAATGAATCAACTTGCTTTTTAAAAACTAGTTTTATTACACACACAGAATTAAAGAATTAAGAATTATACAGAATATGTTATTATGATGAATTTAGAATTACGACTGACGCAGGAAGATTGGAGGCGGTCTTTAAGTACCATTTATTGTTATTTACTATTCTCATGATTTTATCTTTAAACAAACAAAATAGATTACCTTATAAACTAAAGGACTTATTAACTAATGATACATTAAACATTACATTAAAATACTTATTAACTAATCGGTCATAACATAACACCTCCCCTCTTAGAATAAAGATTGGGCGTTAGCGCCTGATCTTTGGGTGGTGCCACCGTAGTCTTCGTCTTCAGATATGCAGCCTGTGGTTGTATTATATTGTTGATTTGGTAATGCGTTCATTGGAATGGAGTGCAGATGTGTAGTTTGCCGTTGTCGTCGTTCCGATGTACCAAAACAGTTATTGAATATTTGGATACAATGGTTATCTTCGTTGTTGCGTCGAATAAATGGATTTCTTGACCGCGGACACCTTTTAAGAACTTTGTAGAGTATAAATTATAGCATAAGAATTCCAGAAATAAAATAAAACCATGTAAGGTTATTTCGATGTCGACGGATGAATGGTGTGTTTTTAATCTTTTGGATTTCTTCATTATGGTTGTCCAATTGATGTTTTATATTATTAAGGGAGTCCAAAGGGGTTTCATTTATTGAAATAGGCAACAAGTTGGGAATCTTGAAGTTCTTTGTATCTTCAAAACAATCTTCGGTCCTGATGTCGGGAAGAATAACCGGGAACGTAATATTTTCTTTTTCCTGTGTATGTGCTGATAGAGTACTATACCCTGTGTGAAGTTTACAATTTTCCTTAAGAGAAATGATGCCTGAACCTTGAATGTTATAATGAGATACTTTGTTTTTGCATTGGAGAATGCATTGTGTTGCATTACTAAGTATGTAGAGCCATATGTTGTCCTTTAAGGGTTGGAACGTATTAATTTGCGCAGTAAATGTTGAGGTTGTGCAAGTGTTTGGAATTTCAGTAGAGGTGCTGAACAGAACTTGAACTTCGCATATTGGACGTGTGTCGGCGTTGTAGACTATGGTGTCGCGACAGACGCTTTTTCCTTCTTCATATATCTTGCAGTTGTCCAGTAAGCTTGTAGAAACGTAGCGCTCACCGCTAGGGTTCGTGGCTAAATACTTGTGCTCTGGTAGGATAGTTGTATAGAGTGGTGAGTTGGGATGTTGGATGGGTATAGAAAATATGTGGTATAATTTTAAGGAATCAGGTTTGACAAGTGGGATGTCTAATATATATACTAATCTATTTGAATATACATATGCGGAAAGTTGAGAGGAATCCAAGATTTTATTAATATTTTGAATAGTAACAGGGACGACTAATTGTTTATTAGATCTTATATGGTTAGACGTGAGGAGGATCTGGTAAAGTTTATTTAAAGAAATTATAGAATGGTGAATAATGTTCGATTTTGCAAATATGATACTTAAAAGACAGTCATTGATCTCATTTTCTAGATTAGTAACCGATTCTAAAATTTGTATTGAGATTGAAGATATTCCTTCAGTTATTTTTAGATCGAAAATGGTATTTGTGGTACCGTTAAGATATTCGTTCAGTTTATTGAAATTTTCATTAATAATTTGTTCGTCGTATGAAATCTTAAAAATAGTCTCGTTGAAATTTCTTATAGTGCTAGAAGTTATTTGAGTTTGTTTCTGCATCAGAGAGGTAAGATCGAGTTCGCGTTTTTCAAGCATCTCAATACATTCATCATATCGTTTTGCATCTCTGGCATCAGGTGTACCGATAAGATATTTTAATAATGAGCTGAACCCGTCTAGTAGTTCTCTTTTCTGTCTAGAGTTCTTACCTAGATATATATTTAATTCTGAAAGTTTATCATCAATTTTATCGAGGCTAATTTTTAAATATGATTTGGTAGAGAGAACATTGGGGAAGGATGGATACTTTGAATACAATTGTTCGAATCTATTTGCTAATCGAAGTAATGATTCGTGAGCTATAAATAGAGGTTTGAGGTCGCGATATATTATGAGTTTCCACGAGTCGTCGGATATAGAAATGGAGCCTTCTTCTTTATAAAACAATCCTGAGTGAGTCGGTAGAGGCTCGGTTAAATTGGCAACGATTCCTGCGGTTGCCCTGAAAGTGACGAAAGACCCGTGTTAGAACTAGATTTGCATTTATTTCTAATGTAAACACGTAAAGTTGGTACATGAAAATATATAAAAGTAATTTCAAAATTGAGCAAATAATAAAAGTAATATATGGGTTTTGCAAAAGGTTATAAAGATTATAAGGATTAGTGGGTTGAGCCATTATAGAACTAACCCTGTAAAATACAATATTTTTTTATAAAAGTGAAGTTAAAATTATTGTTAATGTTGTAATCTTAAACTAATGTTTCATGCACATGATACGGTCTAAGCCTATTTGCGTGCACTAATTGGTTGCGATTCGATTTTTTTATTAAATAGTTATGATTAAAACCGACTCGCATAACTACAAAAGGTCCCTCCCATTTAAGGTCTAAGTTGTTTGGATTTGGTACCTTCAGCATAACTTTGTCGCCTACATTGAACTTGGCTATATTCTTTATGTTAACGTCATAACGTTCTTTAGCTTTTTCTTTCATATTTTGTACGTTACGACGAGCAATGTCCCGCGACACTTTGAGTCGTTCGTTAAGATCGCGCAAATAATCATGAGTTGTGTAGTCGTTATTTTCTTTGAATTCCTATAATGATCGCGGTTTGCACCCGAATCGCAGTCCATGAGGTGTGAGACTGGTTGATTGATTAACTGATGTATTATGACACATAACAGCAAAAGGTATGATTTGGTCCCAGTTTGATTGATTTCGTTTATGGTACATTCGTATATGATCACGCAGGGTAGCGTGGAAGCGTTCGAGAGCACCGTTCGTCTGCGGATGGTATGCAGTACTGACAGTGTGGTTGGATCCGAGTAGTTTCATTAATTGTTTAAGGACGCTGTTAACAAACTCGGTGCCTTGGTCCGAATGAAATCTTTTCGGTATACCGTAGTGCTGACAGAAGGTCAATAAGGTTTTAGCTATTGTTGTTGCTTGCTTGTCGATTATGGGGTAGGCTTGAACAAATCTAGTCAGATCATCTTGTAGCGAGTATGTATTTATTTAATTCATTGGTTACTTCGGAGTATGATACTAGGTCAATTGTTACACGTTCGAATGGTTCGTTGTAGGAAGAAGTGATGATCATAGGGGCTTTGTAGGTTTTTCTTTGGATTTTGTTTCGTTGGCAAATTTGACAATTTTCTACGTAGTTTTTAATAGTGTCAGACATTCCTTTCCAAAAATATTCAGATCTAATTTTACGCGTAGTTTCTACTATGCCTCGGTGACCCGCTAAGGGATCGTCGTGGAAGGTTTTGAGTATTTCGCGAATATCTTCTGTTTCGGGATATTTAACTTTATTTTCACATATAGTGATATTGCACTCATATACGTCGGCGAGATAAGCTGTGATGTGGAGTTGTTCATTTCCTTTAAGTTTACAAGTAGGGTCGTTCTTTAGCTCAGGAATATGAAGTGATTTTAAGTCGTGATTTTGTAAGCAGTTAAGGAGGATTTTGAAGTAGCTTTCCGAATCCCATGCATCAAAATGTGTAGGCTTTGAACAGCCAAATATAATGTTTTGGTTTCTGTCTGAGATTAATAAGTCAACCTCATAAAGATCTTTGGCTTTGTTTAAATAAGGATCTACTTGGGAACACATAGAGATAGCTTCGTTGAAAAGGTTATCTTTGTCTGATAATTCACATGAAGTGGGTATAAGAATGTTTTTGTGACGGTCGTTTAAGAGGCGATCCGACGAAATATGAAGGTTTGGAGTATCGAAACTATACGAGGAATTTTGTAAGAAGTGTTCATAATTCATTTGTAAATAATCATCAGAAGTGTTTTCGCATGTGTTGAGAGGTTCGTCTTCAATGAGATCAATAACGTTGGCATTATGAATAGGGGGCCGTGAGAGTGCGTCAGCGTTGGTATTATTTTATCTGCTATATATATGACTTCGTACTCATATTCTTCAAGTTTGAGACGCCAACGAACTAAACGACTGCCTGGGTCTTTAATAGAAAAAAGCCATGTTAGAGGCTTATGGTCTGTGACGATTTTAAACTTTCGGCCAAATAGGTAGGGTCTAAAATGTTTAACAGCCCAGACAATGGCTAGTAACTCACGTTCGATTGTTGAATAGTTACTTTCGGCTTTATTGAGAGTACGCGAGGCGTATGCAATAGGTAAGTCTTTACCTATCTCTCCCTGAGATAGTACAGCACCTATTGCGTTTATTGAAGCATCTGTGGTCAAAATAAATTCCTTAGCAAAATCGGGATATTGTAATATAGGAGGATTAGTAAGGAGACGTTTACATTCATCAAATGCAATTTGTTGGGTCGTACCCCACACGAAAGAGACTTCCTTTTTTAATAGGCTTGTCAGAGGTTTTGTTAGATTACTGAAATTAGATATGAATCGACGGTAATATCCTGTGAGACCTAGAAATGCTTTAATGTCTTTGCAGGACTTAGGAATAGGAAAATCTTGAACAGCGCGTACTTTATCTGGATTTGGTTTAACACCTTCGTTGGATATGATATGGCCTAGATAGGCAACTTCACGTCTAAGGAATTCGCATTTGTCAGGTTGTACTTTAAGATGGTATTTTCTAAGTCGAGAGAATACTTCTTGAAGTTTTTGTTCATGTTCATGGAGACTAGAGGCAAAGATCACGATATCATCGAGGTATACGAAACATCTTTCTCCTTGCAATCCACATAAGACGGAGTCCATTACGCGTTGGAACGTGGCTGGTGCGTTTTTCAACCCGAAAGGCATTCGCTTATATTCATAATGGCCGTAAGGGGTATTGAATGCCGTTTTAGAGATGTCATTTGGATCAACTTCTAACTGATGGAATCCTGATGCAAGGTCTAACGTGGTGAAGTATTGGGAGTGTCCTAATTTGTCTAATATATCAGTAATGTTAGGAAGAGGATAACTATCACCTACTGTGACTTCATTTAATTTGCGATAATCTATGACTAAACGCCATTTTTGTTTTCCGGAAGCGTCTGGTTTCTTAGGTACTACCCAAATAGGGCTACTCCAAGGGGAATTGCAAGGTCTAATAATGTCTTGGTTTAGCATGTTTTGTACCTGCGTCTTTACTTCATTTTCATGAATTTGAGGAAAGCGATATGTTTTAGTATGAATGGGTACATTAGTGGTAGTAGGGATTTGATGTTTTGTATGATTACTAAACGACAATGGGTCTCCTTCTACGAAAAATATATCACTGTATTCGGAAATGGTTTTATCTAATGATGTTGACTCTTCTTTGTTTAAATGATTTCGTCTAACCAGAGACAGTACTTTCTTTTGTCTGTCGGTTTGTGATATCGAGTTAAAACTATTGATTAGTTGACTATTGTTATCTTCCGTTAGCTCATCGATGTTAATGGGTTTGACTTCGATGTTTGGCGTTCTAATGACTTTATCGGAATTATTAGTATTTATACAAGTAATTGAAAACATGTTGTTTTGAACGTTGACTATAGCGTGGGGAATAATAACACCATTATATATAGTTTGTTTTTCAACTATCGCTGTACCGGATTTAATGCTATTTGTGTTACACATAATTACGGTTTCCGTTCGGCTATTAATTATTTGTTTATCTGCCATCATTCTATTTTCAGTACATTCGTCAATATAATGTAGTTTGTATGATTTATTACCTATTCTCATTGTTTTTGATTGAATGAAGATATTACAATTAAATTTGGTCATAAAATCATTTCCTAGAATACCGTCTGCTTTTATATTAAGATTAGCAACATGGAATTTAAATTCAGGTAAACCATCTAGAGATATATTAGCAGTACCTGAAGTAGTGGTCGAAGTTTGAGTGCTAGAAATACCTACGATTGATACGATGTTAGATTTATCCAAAGGAATAGAACCTATTTTGTCGTCTCTAATAACTGAGATTCCTGCTCCCGTATCTATTAAGAGCGTAACGGATGTTTCTTTAATAAGAAAGGTGCAATATAATAGATTTTCGGGTGGCACATCATTCAATGCGGAGATTGCAAATGATTTGACGCGAGATTTTGCTGTCGAAGATTTGCATTTGATTTTTGATTTAGATTTTGATTGGAGACTGGATTTAGAAGATGCTGTGGAATTAGGATTTTCGACACTAGAAGATTTCGGATTTTCGATGTTAGAAAATTGTCTGGATTTGGGAGTTTGTATGAAGTCAAGGGTTTGGGGCTGATTACCCTGTCCGTAGGTTTCGACTATAATAATTTCGTGAGTTTGAGTAGATATAGAACATTTAGAACTCGGGTTTTTAGAAAGTTCACTCGTTTGAGTACTAGCGTCTCGAAAATGTTTTTGGTAGCGAGATTCGTTCAGTACCTGTTTATTTTGAACTATGGAGCTAGTACTAGCCGGTCCTCGATGGACTGAATTCGGCGTGTAAGCGTTGAACTTCCTTATATGATTTTTTAAGGGTTCATTTGTATGTCCTCCAGGTATATTTCCTGGTTTAACGTTTGCGTCTGGAGAGGCGAGCAAGGGATCAAAGCGGTTTCCAGCGAACTGCTCGCTTCGCTGGCCGCTAAATTGTTTAAATGATTTACTTTAGTGGGAGGTAATGCACGGAAATTTTGGGGTGGTATGTTTGAGTTTCTAATGCTGTTATTATACTCTCTTTTCCTACAATCAGCTATGAGGTGACCTGGTTTTTTACAGTAATTGCAAGTGACGGTTTCATGTGTTGATGTTTGTGACACATAACGTGGGGATGTATTAAGGCGTCGCGTTACAGATTGGTTATTAAGTGTAGATCTAATTTGTGGTCTAGGACGGTTGACAGTTTGACCGACGGCTGGTACCCTGAATAGCGCTTGCCTAGCATTATTCATGGCTCGAATCTTATCTTCTTGTAACGCGAAACGACCCGCTTCTGAGAGGTTGCAAAAATTTTTTGTCCTCAACATTGTTCCTATGTCCGAACTAATTCCATTGACGAATACAGACAAGGCGGTTTCTTCTGTCGTTGCTAACCGGCCTGCGAGCGTATTGTCCGATATTTCTGCTGTTAATTTTTCTATGATTTTACTCCTACAGAGGTCTACCCGGTGAAAATATTCAGTCATCGTTTCATTTAATTTTTGAAACATAGATTGTAGTTCAAGGTTGAGATGGTTAATAGTTTTTATTTGTGAGAATTTCTCGACAAGGAATGATTTGAGTTCAGTCCACGTTTTGTATTGTTTACAGTGGACATCGGATGCACCTGGACCAGTGATGTTATTTAGGGTATACACTAGAAGTATCGGTTCCTGATCTGAAGTAGCTAATTTAAATGCAGAATTGCAAGATCGAACAAATCTATATAGCTGATTATTTTCTCTGGTGTCGAATGACGGAATTAATTTTAGTAGTGTTGATATGTCTAGAGCCATCTTTTCGATTTTGATTTCTAATGACATTAGGAGGAATTTTTAGAAAGGGGTAATATATATATATATATGAAAATATTAAGATAGGTTTGGTTTTTAGAGGATTTATAGAGCAAACAAGTTCAAACCACTCACCATAACAATATCATAAACTGGAGCTGCATGTTCGGCGAAGCGCGTTAAAAGCCTGTGGCTACCGCGTGTTGTATTGCTGGGCGATGCTGTCCCGATGCTCAACTTGCACGTTATACTTCGTCTTACACAGTATCCTACCGACTGCGCCAAATTGTTACGTGGCGAATGAATCAACTTGCTTTTTAAAAACTAGTTTTATTACACACACAGAATTAAAGAATTAAAGAATTATACAGAATATGTTATTATGATGAATTTAGAATTACGACTGACGCCGGAAGAATGGAGGCGGTCTTTAAGTACCATTTATTGTTATTTACTATTCTCATGATTTTATCTTTAAACAAACAAAATAGATTACCTTATAAACTAAAGGACTTATTAACTAATGATACATTAAACATTACATTAAAATACTTATTAACTAATCGGTCATAACATAACATCTCTTTAAGCCAATGTTCTGTGAAACAGACAATATCAATATTATACTTTTCTAAAAATAATTGTATAATTAACTCGCTGCCGGGAAAACTTTGTATGTTCTGATGAACAATTATTAATTCTGATTGCTTTCCCTTTGTCTTTGTGAGCAGTTTAAATCTGCAGTCATAGTAGTTATGTCACAAATATTAATAGAATTATTTGTTATGTCAGTATTTTTATGCTTAAGTTTACCATGTAAACTGTTCATGTAGTCAATATTATAAGCCACTAAAGTGGCTATTTTATTTTTAGATGATTTAGAAAGATACATTGTATCTTTTGTCAAATAAAAATCACTAATAAAACTATTAGTATCAAAAAATGTAAAAATGTCACTATGACGACATGTCAATGTATGTAATAAGTTATTCAGGTAATGTACCTTACTGTTAATTTTTTTATGAAGATGTCTATTTGTGTAAGGAAAAGCGCACAATACAATCTTATACACATTTAATTGTAATAAATATTCAATTCCTTTAATTACATCCTGCCTATTTAATTGAATACTATTACCAAAAAATAACACAATTGTGGTCATATTGTTCATTTTCGTAGACTTAATTTTATTTATTATTTGTGTAAATGATGCTTCTGGCATGCAGTAGTTTAATAATATAGGAATATATCTACATATTACATACATACTATGTCATCCGAATTCTGTGCAATTAACTAAAAAAGTCGTGCCCTCTTTTATAAAATAAAATACATCCAAAAGGCATTAGCAGACCTATAAAACTTCTTATAAAAGAGCATTGCCGACCCTGCATGCTTTTCAGGATAAATATTCCTGTAAACGAATCACAGATGGAGCTTTTTTATAACAGTGGTTACCTACTAACACGTTGTTACGAAACATGCGTTCTGTAGATAAGAGTAAAATCTAACTATTAATATGGGAAGCAAAAACTTGTGTGCTCCTTTTTGAGAAAATTGCGTCTATAAAAAAAAATATAATATACCGCCACTATTGACGACAGAATTGTATAACGTTGTTTATTGTCTGTTTAAAAAAAGGTTTTCGTTTAATGCCAGTAATAATTTTGTATGGACTGTAGGCCGCTCTACATTCCATGCCTCCACATATATGGTAAGGAGACGAATTCTATTAGTTATAACATATTATATTATCTGTGGTTATAATCAGACAGTTATAGTAGGAGAGTTATTGTTATGAATAGAATTGTGCTTTCTGAACGCATCAATTTCGATATGTTTCAACACGTGAATAAGAAAACGTATGGGATCTCATATGCTCCTTTTACTTCTACTTGATTATGTAGATGTTTGTTTTCTTGTAGCAAAAAGTTAATGCCTATAGGAATATATCTACATATTACATACATACTATGGCATCCGAATTCTGTGCAATTAACTAAAAAGGTCGTGCCCTCATTTGTAAAATAAAATACATCCAAAAGGCATTAGCAGACCTATAAAACTTCTTATAAAAGAGCATTGCCGAACCTGCATGCTTTTCAGGATAAATATTCCTGTAAACTAATCACAGATGAAGCTTTTTTATAACAGTGGTTAACTGGTTACCTACTAACACGTTGTTACAAAACATGCGTTCTGTAGATAAGAGTAAACTCTATCTATTAATACTGGAAGCAAAAAATGTTGTGCTCCTTGTTGCGAAAATTGCGACGACTATAAAAAAAATAATATACTGCCACTATTGATGACAGAATTGTGTAACGTTGTGTATTGTCTATTTAAAAAGGCATTAGCAGAGCTACATAACTTTTTATAAAAGAGCATTGCCGACCCTGCATGCTTTTCAGGATAAATATTCCTGTAAACGAATCACAGATGGAGCTTTTTTATAACAGTGGTTACCTACTAACATGTTGTTACGAAACATGCGTTCTGTAGATAAGAGTAAAATCTATGTATTAATACCGGAAGCAAAAAACGTTGTGCTCCCTGCTGCGAAAATTGCGACGACTATAAAAAAAATAACATACCGCCACTATTGATGACAGAATTGTGTAACATTGTGTATTGTCTGTTTAAAAAGGCATTAGCAGAGCTACATAACTTCTTATAAAAGAGCATTGCCGAACCTGGATGCTTTTCAGGACAAATATTCCTGTAAACGAATCACAGATGGAGCTTTTTTATAACAGTGGTTACGTACTAACATGTTGTTACGAAACATGCGTTCTGTAGATAAGAGTAAAATCTATCTATTAATATGGGAAGCAAAAAATTGTGTGCTCATTTTTGAGAAAATTGCGTCTATAAAAAAAAATATAACATACCGCCACTATTGACGACAGAATTGTATAACGTTGTTTATTGTCTGTTTAAAATGAGGTTTTCGTTTAATGCCAGTAATAATTTTGTATGGACTGTAGGCCGCTCTACATTCCATGCCTCCACATATATGGTAAGGAGACGAATTCTATTAGTTATAACATATTATATTATCTGTGGTTGTAATCAGACAGTTATAGTAAGAGAGTTATAGTTATTGTTATGAATAGAATTGTGCTTTCTGAACGCATCAATTTCGATATATTTCAACACGTGAATAAG